ACCGATGCCTGTGAGTGATGGTGTTGGGGATGGATTATAAGTACCTGACAAAGAAACCTGTCTTGGAAGAAGTAGAACCAGGATGCTCCTTACAGGCGAGGATGGTGAGACTCCGTCTCTTGTACTTTAGACCAAAATCCCAGCTGTGGAGTCAAGTCTGGCTCATAAGGACCTGAGCGGAACAGACTCTGGGGGGGCTTCTGAGAGTGTAACTCTTTGGGGGAGCAGAGAACCTCAGTCTTCTCCCGAGGAGTGGCTGGTGGTTTCAAACTGCTGACCCTGTGGTTAGGAGCCTAGCTCATCACCGCTATTCCACCGGGTCAAACGGACGGGCAGTGGGAGAGAGGGAGGCCCTGCATGAGATGGATGGACATGCTGGCTGTGACCAGGGGCTCGAGCCTCATCCTCCTGAGGACGGCGTAGGACCACGTGCGGCTCCTTCTGTTATACACGGGCCGCTGCGGGTCGGACCGACTCAAAAGCACATCCCAACAATGCATCTCTCCCGTGGGTTCGTCTGCGTCCACTTCTCTCTCTCTCTCTCTCTCCCACCATCACTCCCAGGGGCTGAGGAGGTGCCCCCGGGCCGGCCAGGGTGATCTGGTGGCACTGAACCTGACACGGCACATGGTTCAGGAGTGTGGATCCAGGCTTTGCCGGGGCCGCATGGGCAGCACTGTATCTCTCAGGTCCACTGAGTGGACCCCGACTCCTAGTGACCCTGTGGGACAGGGTCAGAGACACGTCCCTGTGGGTTTCTGAGACGGCAGCTGGCACCAGGAGAAGGCCTTGTCTTTCTTCCGCAGGGCGGGCGGCGGGTGGTTTCCAACTGCTGACCTTCCCAATGCCCAGCCCGCTACCCCAGCAGGGCTCCTAGCATGCTGACCACCTGGGATTCCATGCAGGGCTGCCGGACACCACCAGGAGGCCACGCTGCCTCCAGGCTGTGCCAACGGGAGCCCTGCACACAATCATCTGCAGCACCAAGTGGCATCAGCTCTCGAATCCGCTCTGTTGCATGCCAGGGGTCTCAAAGCAGGGACGATGGGCACGTGTGTGTGTGTGGGGGGGGGGGTGCTGCTGTGTACACAGCTCCAGATCCTGTTTTGAGAGCCAATGTTGCCTGGTCCCCATGGTCCACGCAACAGTGGGTGGGTATGAGCCCATCAAGGAGCCCTGGAGGCACATGGGTTGTGGTGAGCTACTGATTGCAAGGTCGGCAGTTTGCGACCACCAGTCCCTCTGAGGGAGAAAGACAGGGCTTTCTACTTCAGTCAAGAGTGACCATCTCAGACACTCACGGGGCAGTTCTGCCCTGTCCCATAGGCTTGCTACGAATCAGAACCAACCCGACGACGGCAGAGGCTTGTTTTTGAGTCCGTGGGTGCAGCCACTGTGCCCGCGGGTCCGATTTGTAGCAAGCCTGTGTGAAGGGGCAGGGCGGCCCTGAGAGTTGTGCGGGACCCCTGACTCTCCTGGGCTCTGAGGACTGATTGCTGGGTCTTCTCTGTCGGACTGGCTAGGTGGGTTTGAACCACTGACCTTTGAGTTAGCAGCCGAATGCCTAAGTGACACTACCAAACCCACTGCCCTTTAGTCTAGCCAGGCGTCCTCAAACTACGGCAGCCCGCCGAGGACATTGGGTGTTTTTGCCCCGTTTGGTTTTTTACTTCAAAATAAGATATGTGCAGTGTGCATAGGAATTTGTTCATAATTTTTTTTAAACTATAGTCCAGCCCTCCAACGGGTCTGAGGGACAGTGAACTGGCCCCCTGTTTAAAAAGTTGGAGGGCTCCAGCCCATCAGGGGTCGGCAAACTGCGGCATTTTGGTACCTACACGTGGCTCTGAAATAGAATTGGAAAACGTTTAAGGCAATTGTTCAGATTTCATTGTTTGCAAAAATATAGCTATGGCCCTCGAATCATTTTTAAATTGGTGTGCGGGATAAGCATGGCTCTTCTGTCTAAAAAGTTTGCCTGTTCCTGGTCTTGTTTGTTCTTGCTCCTGGAACCTTAGAGGGCAGCCTGCGAGGAGACCTGCCCGACAGTGTTTCTAACGCTGACCTCCTGACGGGAGCAGAGCTGCCCCATCCATAGTCCCCCAGGGAGAGGCGGGTAGGCTTGAACCTCTGACCTTAGGTTAGCAGCCAGGCACTTAACCTCTGCACCACCAGGCTCCCTCCATGGGAGAGAGGGGAGGCTTAAACCTCAGGGAGGTGCAGGTGTCCTGGGCTCCGTGTGCATGGTGATGTCAAGATGGAATTTGGCATTTATCTTTTAATGGGCATCTCGGTGGCCAACATAAGCCCTGTTGTGGTGGGTTGAACTGTACCCAGACCTCTGGGATCCTGCCTCCCCGTCTGGAATACAGACCCATCCACTGGAGACACAGCAGCCATGCTGAGACCATACGGTCACAGGCAGGAAAGTAACAGAGAAGGAAGGCCAGCCTCGGAGGCCTGAGGGCCAACGCCCATGACCGCTGGACAAAAAGAAGACTCTAGTCAGTGGTTCTCCCCCTGGGGCAGTGCAGCCCCCTCTCCCCCAGAGACCAAGCGGCAATTCGGGTAGCAGGTAGCAGCTGCAGGCTAGGGATGCTACCTGGCCTCCAACTATGCCTGGAGCAACCCCCCACCCTCAAAGAGCTGCACTAGCCCGGTAGACCAGAGTCTTGAACCTGGGTCACGGTCACTAGGTGGCACTGTGGGTTGTGGCTTTGCATTGGGCTTCTAACCGCAAGGTCCGCAGTTTGAAACCCCGGGACACTCCGCTGAGAAAGATCCTAGCGTTCTGATAAGGCAGAGCCCAGTAGGTCAAAGCTGCCATCTTTCTCAGCGTCCCAGCCCCCACCCCGGGAGTCCTTCTTATTGTTGTTGTCTGGTGCCGGGAATTAGCTCCGACTCACAGCGGCCCGATGGACAAGATCAGGAAGCACTGCCTGGCCCTGTGCCACCCTCACACTGTGCCCGGCCCTGTGCCACCCTCACACTGTTCCTGTGCCGGAGCCCCTGGCTGCAGCCGCACGTCCGTCCATCTCGTCCAGGCCCTGCCCTTTCCCTCTGCCCCTCGGCTCCAGCAAGCACGAGGTCCTTCTCCAGGGACTGGTCTCTCCTGACAACACGCCCACGGTGTACGAGACCAAGTCTCGCCGTCCTTGCCTCTAGGTGCACCCCAGCTGCGCTTCTAGGTCCATCGATCCTCTGGACTGTCCGTGGTACTTTCAATGTTCTCCTAGTTCACATGCACTGAGCCCTTGGATGGATTCAAACCATGGGCCTTTGAGTTAACAGCCAAGTGTTGACTTAACTACCGGTTGGCTGGGGGGAAGGGGGCACACCAGTGCTCCCTACCTCCAACTGGTTAAGCTGCTCTAGGACAAGGAGGAGCAGGTCCTGGGGGGTGGGGTACGGGTTGGGTGCTAACCACAAGGCCAGCAGTTTGAACCCCCCAGTCGCTCCACAGGAGAAAGACGAGGCTTTCTGCTCCTGGGAGATTAGAACCCACAGGGGAGGTTCTACCCCGTCCTAAGGCGTTGCTGCGAGTCGGAACCAACAGATGGTGAGCAGCTTCAGTTTGGGGGTTCTAGGGAGCCCTGGTGTCGTGGGGCTTACAGCTTGGGCTGGAAACCAGGGGCAGCTCCGCTGAAAGATGGGCTTTCTACTCTCATAAAGGGTTAGTCTTGGGAACCCACAGGGGCAGTTCTACTCTGTCCTGGGGCCAGAGGGTTTAGTTGGGGGGTGGGTGGGTGCTATTTAACCCAAGTATCTGGTTGTCAAGAGGTTCACCACACTCTGCCGCCAAGTGCTCACCCTGAGGCGCCCAGCCCCCGGCGGCCCTCAGGCCTGGCACACCTTGGTGGCTGGACAGACCTGGAGGCTGCCATTTAACTCGCCCTTGACAGAGCTGGCAGATCAAGGGGCTAATTGTGTGATACCAGCTAACTGTGTCCAGCACAAAGCGGAAAGCAGGCCCAAGCCTCCTGAAGAATACACGAGACTGGACCTTCTGATACAAACTGGACTTTAATGGGTTAACAGAAGTCAAGTTCACAGATAAATACGACCCAGGGCATAAATAACATAAGAAAGGCGGGGGGATGATGGGGGGGACATATCAAAATAAGTTACTCATAAATACCACACCGGTGACTTAAGTGCTGGAACAACACCTCCTCCTGCTCCCCTGTTCGCCCCCCTACCCCCCACCACGGGAGGTGCTTCTCTCTGGACCAGGGGTGGCTGAGGAAGGTTCTCCCCAGCCCTCTCCCCCAAGAAGGGGAGTCACACCATTCAGATCCACAGCAGGAGGGGGCTACTGGTGGCCCAGCTAAGGGAAAATGGGACTGGTGAGTTCAAAATGGTAATGTGCTCCCTGCAGACCTGGGAGGGGGGGAGGGAGGGCTGTCCACCGGTGGGGCCCCAGCTTTGAGCGTGGGGCAGTCAGCTGTGGGCAGGTCGCTGGCCACTTAGAGGCCGAGTGACACTTGGAGCGGTCAACCACAAAAAAAAGGGGGGCCAAGCAGGCCTGTCTTAGCTGCCCCAGCTGTGAGGCCGTCTCGAAATTCACCTGGGCTGGTGGGGGGCACTTGGGGGAGATCCAGAGGTCTTGAGATCAATTCCGGCATGGGCTTCAACTGATTTGCGTTTCTTCCTGGGTGCCCCTCCTAGGAGAGACCTATGGACAATGTCAAGTTAGCATGGCATTGCTCCTGTAGGGAGGTGAGTTCCCCGGCACTGGGAGTATTCAAACGAAAACAGGGTAGCACAGCAACCTGTCCAACCACAAGTAAGGAGGCAGGGCGGGGTCTGTGGTTGGGAGCTGGGCAGCTAGAGGGCTTAGGATTTTACAATCATCCGAGTCTATCCACTAAGAATGGGTACCACCATTGTATACTAGGTACCCTCTACACGCCTTTCTTCCTAATGCTAACTAGAGTGCAGGCTTAGCAGGGTTCTTCTACATGTGTGGGCAGCCTCCTGGCCTCTAGGTGGAGGTAGGGTCACTCCTGGAAGCTGGGACTATTGACCGACCCCACTGGGGAGATGATCCCAAAGGGATCCATGCTGTCGGTTTCCAGGGGTGGGGAGAACACAGAGCCCGGGTGGTCCTCCTCCAGGTCCCGGGGCTTCATAGAGAGCATGGGCAGGAAGCGGGACAGGGGCAGGAAGCCGCGGCCTCGATGCTGCTGCCTCTGGCGGGCGTTGCTCAGAGACACCGGGAGGCCGTGCTTCTTGGACAGGTACAGGTTGTAGCCGTCTGGCTGGATCCTCTCCTCAAAGGCACAGTCATCAGCCGAGTACTGGGGCTGCGGAGAGAAGGGGGTCAGAGCACTGAGTGGACACCCCAGTCTGACTGGACCACCAGCAGAGGAAACAGTAGGCGTTTTGCTACTTGCTGTCCCCTGAGGCAGAGCCCCGCTGGCTGTTCAAAGCCCCCAGCAGCTCGGAGAGAGACGGATGGGTGTCTGTCCCTGGCAAAAGAGACCTCTCTAAAGAAACCCAGAGGGGCAGTTCCACCCCATCCTCGGGCCCTGTGAGTCAGCCTCGACTTGATGGCAGGAAATTTGGACTTCGGCGTGAGCTGCCACTGCTATTTTCTGCATCTGTGTCCGGATATGGGGCACGGGGGCAGGGGGAAGGGGGGGGTGTCACTGCACGATGCTGACATACCTTGAGGAGACACTTGATGCTAGATTAAGTACGTAGGCACAAATGGGCGGGGCGCATCTGAATGGTGCACAGTTAAGCGCTCCGCTACTAAACAGAAAGGCTGGTGGTCTACTTGGGGCGGGGGCATTGAAAACCTTATGTAGAAGAGGTGGCCTTAAGAATGCACAGGGTCACCATGAGTCCCAGCTGATGCCATGACAGCTGGGGTTGGCACACACACACACACACACACACACACACACACACAAGTGTGCGCGCAGAGGGGTCTTCAAAACCCAGTGGGAAAAATTCTTCTCATCTCCCTTCAGGTCCAGACTAGTGGTCCTAACCCCTCAGCCACCCTGCAGGAGAAGGAAGAGGCAGTCTACTTCCACCAATATTTACAGCCTGGAAGCCCCCCAGGTCTTCCCTCGCCGCCCCCCCCCCTGCAGGGGTGCTATGCACCGAAGCGCATTCAGCCAGCACCCAACAGTGGACACAGGCACGAGAGTGCCGGGGAGGGTGGCACTGCTTGTTAGCTCACCTTTCCTCACACTTCCGGATGCCAGTGTAGGTGTGCATGCATGTCCACACGCAAACCTACATGTACTGAGTGCATGTCCGCATGCAAACATACGTACATGAGGGGGCTTGATAGACTTCCTGGAAAAAGGAGCTCAAAGACCAGGAAGGCGCCCCCATTTGCACGCGCTAGTTATAGTTCAAGTGTAGGTTTCACGTGTTTCTTGTTTGTATCTGAAAGCATCTCACTGCCATCAGGTTGACGTCGACAGCCCCTGTAGCTCTCTCTGTACGGGTCTGTAGCCCTTTGCAAGGGCAGAAAGCCTCCTCTTGTATACCCCCGTGTGTACTTAATGACAGACAGACTTGACATCCCCCCTGGCACTAAGCCTTGTCCTGACGTGAATTCCCACAAACACACAGGCATACATATCTGTCTCCACCCCTTTCCCATACCTGCTGGTCACTGAGAAACTTAAAAAAACAAACACCTCTCCCCCACCTTGTCAGTTCCAAACCCTCCCTAGCAACCCTGCAGGGGGGCAGACAAGCCCGTGTGGGTTTCCAGGAAGAGAAAGTCGCCTCTTTCTTGCTTGGAGCTGCTGGGGGTTTCCAACTGTTGACCTTGCCTGGTAGCAGTTCAGCATGTCACCACAGATGCCAGGACACCGCTCAGTCGGGGCAGAATAAACTTAACCCCGGGAGCACCCAGCCTCCTGTCTGTCCCGAGTTTATGAGGTCAGTGAACTGCAGGTGGAAGAGATGTGCTGATAAGGGGCTGATAAGCCCAAGGATGCCACCACCCACTGCTGGGGACTCAGGGACAAAGCACCGCACAGGCACAGGGCAGGACTTGGCTAGAATCCGCTCACAGATGTCAACCCTGCGGTCAGCCAGAGGGAGACCTTCCATTCACTGCGCTCATCCTGGAGGCTGGAGGGGGAGGAGGGACTTGCATTGCGGGATTCTCCACCCAGAACGTGGACTGGTTAGGGATTGACAGGAAAAGGTGAAGTTGGATAGACATCTATAGCTATATGCATATGAATGTGAAATTTCCGCTCCACCTCAGTCTTTACTAAGCCACGCCCACGGGATCCAGAGACCCAATGGGGTTGGAAGTGGTGAGACCACCCCCTTCCTCCCCCTCCCCACATTCCTGGGGGTGGGCCTAGGGGAAGGAGGCTGGGTTCCACCCACCAGAGACCCTCCCTGCTGTCCACCATGAGCCAGCCAGCGCCTGTCTACAGTAATTAGGTGTGTCCATCGTATGAAAATGTCCTGCCAACAAACTGTCCTGCGGGGGGGGGGGCGGCGGGGGGTGACACACGCTCGCAGCCCCCGTTCGCTCAGCCACAAAGCTTGAGATGGGGACAGACCGAGGCCCTCCTCCCAAGCACAAAACTTCAAGATGCTAAAAAAAAAACCCAACTCCGGAGCTGAGGTTCACAAAGGAGGGGGGAGGGGGCACATCCGCATCTGGCGCCCTGGAAGCGGCGTGGCCTCTCTCGCCCTCCCCCACTCTTTTGGCTGCGTGCCTCCCCACGTCACGCAGGCGCCCCCCAACCTCCTCTAGGGCCTCGCAGAACTCCACCCCCGCTTTGTCCCGTCTGACCAATGGCCCTGCTTCTTGGCGGTTACCTGGGCCTCTCTAGACACAGCCCTGCCCCTCCCCCGCCGCCCCCTCCCCATTCGTGGGGACTCGGGCAATCCCATGAGTACAGCGCAGACAAAGGACCCAAGGAAGTTTTAGGGCGAGACTTCTCAGGAGCAGACAGCCAGACCTACCCTCCGTGCCGCCTTGTGGGTGGATCCGAATCGCCTTCGCGGCGGTACCAACCAGGGAGACTACATGTCCCCCGACCCCCTCCAGCCTCCCCCCAAATCAGTTTCCCATACAGGTGTGTCCCAAAGGAGCGAAGCCCATCCCCGAAACCTACACGCTTCCTAAGATGCAAATTAGTTAAATTAGAAAAGTCTGGTCAACCACTAACTTGCCCTGGTGTGTGTGTGTGTGTGTGTGTGTGTGTGTGTGTGTGTGTGTGTGTGATTTGAGCGCTCCCTCCTTTCTTTCTTCTGTCTTTCTCTCCGGATCACAGGGTGGGAAACGCCCGCCGGGAGGACCACCTCCGAGCAGGCAGCGGTCGACCAGGTGGGCTCTGACTGTTCCTCAGTAAAAGGAAGTTTCACTGGGAATTCAAGGGCCGCGCTCGACCAAGCCCCGCGTACAAGCGAACCAAGCGCCCCAGCCTCTCCTACTTCCTCCCAGGGACGGGGCGCGCCACTGTGGATCCCACCCAGACCGGCCCCGCCCCGTAGGGACACCTACCAGCCCCTGCAGCTGCCCGTCGGCTCCCATGCAGAGGTATCTCGCGCTCTGTACGCCCTTGATGGCCACGGTCCGCAACGCCACCGCTTTGAACTCGAGTAAACCTGGGAGCAAGGACAGGATGGCTTAGGGTGCCCCCCTTCTCCGCCGAGACCCCGGGGTTCCCGGAGGGAGGGGGCCCCACCCCTCCCCCAAGGAGCCCCCACCCCTCCCCCAAGGAGCCGAGGGAAGGCGGGGAGGGGCGCCAGCGCGCGGGACTCACTGTAAGCGCTCTGGCTGCGCGCGGCGTCCACGGTGCCGTCGGCGCGGATGCGCAGGAAGCAGCTGAAGAGGCCGTGCGGGCTGGCTGTGTACAGGTGGCGCAGGCGGATGGGCTCGCCCCAGCCATAGTGCACGTGCGGCCCGGCGTCTGAGAAGGCCATCGGGCGGCCGGCCACCGTCAGCCAAAGGCCAGCCACGGCCAGGGCGAGCAGCACAACGCGCTTGCTCAGAGCGCTCTGCATGGCTCCTCCGTCTGCCAGGGCGGCGCGCACGACGGGGTGGCTGGCAGTTGGGGCAGGAAGCACTGCGGGTTGGGCGTGCGGGGAAAGGCCGGCGGGAACCTGGAGACAAGGCGAGCGCGCGCCCTGGGAGCTCGGGGTGCGCTGCACTCGGGTTCTGACGGGCCCGCGCGGTGGGGGCGCCGGCCTTATATAGCACGCCCTACCCGTCCGCGGGGAGATGCCCCGACACCCGCGCAATTCTTATCGGGCAGGCCCCGCCCCTGCACACACCCACTCACACCCCGCCCCGGCCTCTTGGAACCGGAGGCCCCACCAGGACTCCAAGGGCCCCTCCCCGCACTCGGGGCGGGAGGCTTAGCGCCGGACCCGCGGGGAGCGTGAGAAGTGGCACTAAGGCGCCCCCTCCGGGCCTCGAGATCCCCAGCGGTGCTTTCCGTGCGTGGTGCCTGCAGACGCAAGAACCCCAAAGCTGGAGACAGGGCGTCCCTAAGCTTCGCTTTTCACCCCTCCACCCCTCCGGAAAAGCCTGGTCTCAGATTTCAGGGGCCCCCTCCCCTTAAAAGTCTCCACTCAGAGCCCGCCCCCGACAGTCCCTGGGCCCCTGTACTTCCCCCTAAAAAGCCGTCCATTAGAAATGTGCCCCCGCCCTCCCTCCCAGCTCTGACAGC